CTAAGCCCACGCAAACAGTAAACAAAAAACCCAAATCCTATAAAGCAACCCATAGGCTCCATAGTAGTTCCTTTTGGGGGTTACTTTATAGGATTCTATATATGAACCCCAAAAAGGAACTACTTTAGGGCCCACGGCAAAACCCTTGAACCTTCAACCCTCAGCGCGAATCCTGAATCTTCAGGGTTTAGGGTTTAGGGTTTAGGGTTCAGCACCTGCCCCAACTAAGGCTGCAGCTTGCTTGTAGCTCTTCAGGTCATTCTGAGCAGCCCGATTGCAGTTTGGAATCTCGTGCTTTTCTATGGGTTTTCTGATGTGTACCCCACGTCCCAACAAACAGGAATGGTATTCCCAAGGCTTCCGGCAATAAATTTCATAAAAAATACTGGAGTTTCGTTCTGAAGTTGTTCAGGCCTTTAACCCTAAACCCTAAACCCTGAACCCTAAACGCTAGACCATTATACTGGAGCAGCAGAAGCTACTTTTTTGAATGTGCCGCCCAAAGGCCACTGCCACTAACATCATCGTCATCATAACTCGAGCCTCCTTTCAGGGTGCCTTTCAGAGTTCCTTTCTAGGGTTCCTTTTAGAGATCTCTTTCACTCTTGACGTGAAGTCGTTTGAGCTTCTTCACTTTTTCAGGTCAGGGTTTTTCGGGTCTGCGGCTTTCTTTGGGCTTAAGGTTTATAGGGTTTAGGGATTTGATCTGAGGGGTGAATAGCAGATGGACGGCATTTGCGCGTACCATGACGTTGGTTTACCAGCTGTTAGCAGTAAGGTTGCTCGCTTGACCGTTTCGGTTCTCGGCAGAAGCCATGTCCTATCGCCTATCTCCACTCCAGAATCAAAATCTCGACCTCAAACCCTCACGCAAGCCTTAGATAACTACAACTTTCCAAACACCCCTAAACCCTAAACCCTATTCCAAACACCCACAAGCCCTAAACTCCTAAACCCTAAATCCCTAAACCCTGAACCTTAAGCCCTAGACTCCTAAACCCTAAACCCCTATACCCTAAACCCTAAACCCTAAACCCCTAAACCCTAAACCCTAAACTCCTAAACTCCTAAACCCTATAAGCCTTAACCCCTAAACCCCTAAACCCTAAGCCCTTATGTAACTCCCAACAACCCCAAGCCCCGAAAGCCAAGCTTCGGGCCCCAGGCCGCTGAAACGTCAGCTCCCGAGCCCTCAAGCCATTCTGGTGTAGGGTTTTAGGGCTTAGGGGTTTAGGGTTTAGGGGTTTAGGGGTTTAGGGGTTTAGGGTTTAGGGGTTTAGTGTTTAGGGGTTTAGAGTTTAGGGGTTTAGGGTTTAGGGTTTTAGGGGTTTAGGATTTAGGGTTTAGGATTTGAGGTTTAGGTTGTACGGGTTAGGATTTAGGGTTTAGGTTTTAAGAGTTAGGGCTTACAGGGTTTAGGATTTAGGGTTTATAGGGTTTAGGATATAGGGCAGAGGGCTTAGGGTTTCCACCGAGGCCTCGTCTGCCTGGAGAGCTCTGACAAGGAAGCGGAAGGGAGTTGGAGACCTTACCCTAAGGATCCATGTGCTCATATCTTGGTTGGTTTTTGGGACATTTGTTATTTTCCCTATTTGGGTTTATAAGGGACCCTTGATATAAATATTTTTCAGAGGTCTTAAAGGCCAACCCAGATATAGTATATACATTGGCTT